AGCTGGCTCGAGTGACAACAAAGCTCCTGCACCCTGCGCTTATCTCCTCGATGCGATCCGCCGACAACGATATGGAGTTGCAGGACATCGATGACGTTGAAGAGTCGCCATTGAGGTGCAGCATGTCGAGTAAGGCGTACTGCCGTCAGTCGTCATCACAACTTCTCATGTCGTTTCAATTTCCACGCCCGTTGCTGTTGTCATGTGTCGCCGTGCGCTCTTGCCGTCTTCGGAGCACGTCTCGCAGCTGCCTCGATTACGTAGGCCAGACAAGCCCAATGACAGCGAGGATTCGTGCAGTTACCAGGGGCCATGCAGAACATAGTTCCTGTCGTGGAACCCTCCAGCACATCGCTCTTGCCTTGCCACGAACACTTGCATTCTGCCCCCGATACACGAAATCCACGTCGGCTAGTATTCTGGAGGAATGCGCTGCAGGGAGCTCGAAACGACCGTTGCCCGCGTCGCGTCGACGTGTTCAGACGAGAGCTTTTCGATGCTCCAGGTCGGCGGTGCGCGGGCTTGAGAAATAGCTTTTGGCCACCTCACCTTGCCGCATCGGAGACTTTTGTACCTTCAACAAATGCTCTTTCTCTCCTCCCCTGGGCCTCGCAGGGACCGACGCAAGACGATGCTAGCGACAGGTTGATCCCGGCCTCTGGAATGCGATGGCAATGATGTGTAGCTGCTGGAGCGTCTGCAGTGGCGGCACCTCTCAGCTTGGATGGACGTCCACTTGCAACTAGGCGGGAAGCCAAGCACTGCACCAGTCGGGCTATATAACCATCAAGCAGCGTCGAGGTACGTCTCACGCGAGACCTGTCGTCACTCCTGACCTGTGTACCGGCCCATGATTCAAGCAGCATAGCTTGCGCCGGAACTCCAGGCTGAGCCGAACAAAAACAACCATCTTCTTCCCTCAGCAGCGCCAGCGAGGTAAGCTCCAGAACCGCGCGTAGCATCAATGCGTCAGCACGTGTCCTGTTCACACCACAGCTGGGGGAGGCGTAAACGAGCGGGCGTCGTATACGGCGCTTAGGGGCATGAAACGGTTTGGTGCTGACCGTGCGATAGGCTTCCTTGACGAGTCTCGCGCGGGCGCTTCTCACGATCCCTCATGCAGATCTCTGGCTATTTGACATCCTGCCGAAGTCAGACGTAAGCTGGATCCTTGCTTTTGCCAAAGCGAATGACCATCCGAGCTTGGTCACACAGAGCTAGACAACACTCAACACGATTCGGCATCTTGCCGGAGCTACGGGATCCACCACCTATACATACGCCATCAAAACCACTCGTAGAACAGAGCAGAGCCACGCCGAGCGCTCATCTCCGCCGACCGACCGCGAGCGCATCGAGCGCATCACCGACGATATGCCACCCGCGAGCGACTCCTTCATGCCCCTCAACATTGAAGACGACGTCGTGCCAGAATGGCTGGATTCCTTTACTCTGGTTGCGCCCCCAAACACCGATCTATGGAGAAGGCCATCTTCGGGCGACATCTCAACCGCTCCCATGCTCTACACTGCCTTGAGCAATCCCTTCATTGTAGCAGAAGTCACGGTCAAGGGAGACTGGCAGCTTGAATGGGATCAAGGAGGGCTGGTAATATTCGCAGGCGCACCGCCAGGACAGACAGCGACGGCATCAACAACCGCAACGCCGACATTGCAGGTCCCAGATGTTGCAAACATCCGGTTGGACGACAGCGCGACGCCGAGCTCCGCCATCTCTCTCTCGCAAACCTCAAGTAATGAGAATGTTGAAAGCTGCGGCACGACAGCCTCACACAGCCCAACAGACGAGTCAGGACCCAGCCCCCAACTAGAACGTGGGCCGCCACCACCATACGACACTCCTGCGCCAGCACCCAAGTGGGTGAAAGTCGGGCTTGAGTTCTGCGGCAACGTATGCCACGCTACAGCTGTAGCCGCCAATAGTGAAGGTGCCGATTGGTCTTTGAGTTCGCTTCCTCCGCTTCAACAACGGCTCAAGGAACTGCGCGTCAAGATGGAGCGCATCGGCTACGCGCTGTGGGTGTCGTACGAGGAAGAACCGGGGATTTGGAGGAAATTGAGAGAAGTCACTTGGTTCTTCTGGGGTGTAGAAGACAAGGCCGTACGCGTTGGCGTCTACGCGAGTCGACCTGCAAACTTTGGCATCACCATGTGGGATCACAGACACCGTGTGGGACTCAGCAACGAACAGCGAAATTTATACGTCGAATTTGAAGATCTGGAGATCCACTAACCAGGCACGTCGCCCTGTTTATTTCTGTCGGTCTATCATTGCATGCAGCGGCTGTTTGTGCAGCCCAGGATCACGAGCAGATGCTCTCTTTGCTTCACACATCCCTAGCATGTCTACATCTCTAATCGTCTCTTCGACCCCTACTTCGTAATCAGTTTTGAGTTTCGGTTCTATGTACCTATTCGCTTTTCGCCGTTCGCGGCGTTGCCTCGGCGCTTGCCACCATCTTCAGCTCATCGCAGCGTCGCATCCATCTGTGGCGACAATACCTGCACTGCAACTTCTCGCATACATATAGGGCTCATCTTACTGTAATCGCCTCTTTTTCTCACGGATGACAGATCGCGACGAGCGCAGATCTGTAATCCGTTCTCGGGTCTGTCATCACATTCCAGTTTTGCTTGCCATCTAGCATCTATCTATTTACATAATAACACAATTATTTGGTACCCGTTTCTACACGCTCTAACGCAGGGTTCTCATTTCAACCTAGACCTCGCGTAAGAACGTGAGTCGGATGCGCGTTGCATGTGGAATGGTGATGATCGGTACTCATGCGGAGCTGGCGCGTTTGGTATCGCGTCTTCACGCCGCCCCGGTGCCCTTCACAGACGATGTACAAGCAGCACACTAAAGTCCCAACGAATGGGAGGAGTCACAGTCTTGGTTGATTCAAGTACTTGAATGACGGCCCAAACGATGCGTGCAAACGACAAAGCTGGTGTTGAATCCCACAACTTTGAGAGACATGCTACTTCCACGACGAGTACCAGGGACTTACGGATACGATTCATGGCCAACCCCCACCGAGTGTTCACGGAGAATAAACCTAAGTTTTCTGGTCGCTTTGAGGAGCTACCTACTCGATCCTTCCCGGCTGATTGGTCTACCACCCAGAACTCCGTAGGGAACAACGATGTTGCTTGTCTATATTCTGTTGGGTCTTGTGTACCATTCAGCTTGTGGATACGGCCATACCATGAAGGGTCGTCAGGCCGAGTATACTATGACTAAGGACGCTCACGGGAGCTACACCACAGCTCCGTTGGTAGAAAGAACGACTTCCTTCCCTACATCATCATCCAATGCGGCCAGCACTCAGCTATTTAGCTCTCAGCCATCTCAACCCGTACTACCGGCCAGTGTGCCCCCCACAGTTGCCTGCTGGGCGACACCGTACTGCGAATCTATCCTCGTGGACTTTGCGCACTGCTACAACATCTCTGGAACGCTGAAAAGTCCCAATGGCGACGATGGACGAAGCGAAGTTTACCAGCGTTGTCTCTGCAACGACCGAGGAACTGTGTACAAAGAGTAAGCGTCCCTCGAATCACCTCCCCCCCCCGACTTCCTCTAACCGAACAAACAGCATCCTAACGAACTACCAAGCGCAAAACACAGACAACGTAACGCAGTGCTACGCATGCATGAAGCAAGCCGGCATCGAAGTAGACAAGAACAGCGAACCCAGCCTACAAATGCGGTACAAGATCCATAATTTCTGCAACACCGCAGTGCCGAATTTGTACGATTTACTCGCTCTATTCCTCGTCTGGCTCAAGTCCACCGACGAGCCCGTAGACAATAACACCGAGCTGGGCAACATACCCTCGATATCTACCTTAGCCGATCGCTTCACAAAGACGGATGTAAATCAAGCTACTAAAACGGTAGCCAGCTCGGCTCAGAACACGGAGACATCGTGGCTGGGGAGTACGCTTACTGCTGGCGACGTGATACCGACGCAGTACTTACAGCAACTACCGAAGCACTGGCCGTATACAAGCTACGGCGCGGCAAGAAAGGCAGGCCAGACTACCTCGTTTCCGTTGACAAACCCCAATTCGACAAGTCAAACGGTGGCATGGCTATTCCATGAGATGCTGTGGAATCCACGACCGCTTTTCACTCCGCCGTCAGCGAGAGGAGAGGAGTATGAACCAGGGCTTGCGGACTGGACACCAGCGTTCAGGAACGGTGATGCCCTGACTGCTATCCCTTCTACCTCCGCCGCACCCGACATCTCAACGACGAACGTCGAGTCGAGCACTTCGGATCCCACAGCGACGGCAGCATCAGAAGGGACGATGACGCTGGGTACTTCCATGACTTCGACAACGCTGTCTACATCTACGACGATTGCTGTTCTTACAACGTCCGTCATCATGTCCACGTCCATGTTGATAGCCTCCTCTGTTGCGATTCTAACAACAACGACAACAACTTTACCGCCGACCTCTTCGTCTCCTCCATCTTCTTCTTCTTTTTCTTCTTCTACACTCACCTCACAGGCGCTCGTTCCTAATCGTCCAGAGTACACACAATACCCTGTTCTGAGCAAACCACATGATGCGAGAGACGTCACGACTGCGTCATCTCGAAAGGCACTTGTAGATGCCCTGGCTGGGCCTAGGCAGGAAACTGGGAACGAGGAGGAGTCGATTAAGCAATTGTGGGGTGAGATAAGAAGGGTGAAGAAAGAGATGAATCGCTGATATTCGATCGCGAGAATGCAAGAGAGGAGGAAGATGTAACAAACAAACCAATATAAAGGCTATTCTTGTCATAATTACGTATTAACTATCTGTTCTACTTATGATACCACCTCCCAAAATGAAGGGGTTTTTCTAGACACGCTTTATACCGAAAACGCCAACCCATGCCCCTATATACAAGTCCTGTAATGAGACTCCATGAAGCGTATATACATAATGCCGTCTACTTCTTCTTCTTGGCCTTCGGCTTCACTACCTCTTCACCTCTGCAACAAGGTACGGGCCAATGACGCAAATAGCAGTCCAGACCACCATCGCACTCTCAACAACAATCGTGTACGGCGTCTTCCAAATAGGCACCTCCTGCAATCTTACGTAAATCGCGTAAAATGCAACGTAGAAGAAGTGGTAGACAAGCATCCAAGGGCGCGTGATCAATCCCGCAAGCATGCCACAGGGTTCACTGACGCTCTTTCCGCCGCGCAGGAAGTACTTGAAACAGCCCTTCTTGATCAGCTCGAGGTACTGGTTGTTGGCGGCGAAGAGGCTGTACAGCGCCATGGCCAGGATGTTGATGACGGATGACCCGTCCTTGCGCTTCCAGTGGAAGGTCGACATGGCGGCGAGGACGGCAGAGGTGTCTTCGAGTGTGGGTACGTTGACGGGGGAGAGAAGGTTGGAGAGTAGGACGACGTCGTTGAACGCGACTGTCATGCCGCCGCCGGTCAGGGGATGGCGCATGTTCATTGAATCGCCGAGGAAGATGAGGCCGGCTTGTTTTTGCGTCGTAGGGGGTAGGAAGCTATTGGGCATGGAGCGTAGTTTACCCGCTTCGATTGCTTTGCGGAACGCGGGCTGGACGCAGGCGGGAAGTTGGGGCAGCGCGACATTGAGCATGTGGTTCTTGACACCGCCGTTCTTGGGGCTCGCCGACGGCAGGTGTTCGGGTATGTCGACAAGAATGCGCGTCTCGTGTGTGCCGATTTGGTAGATGAGGATGGGGGGTGCGTCGGCGAGGATGACGTGGCCGTGGTTGGGCATGGGCAGCTCGGCGTCGATCATTTCGAGACCCCAGAATTTGCTGCGCACTTGGGGTTGGTTGGGGATATATTCTTTGCGGAACTTGGAGGCGTAGCCGTCGGCTACGAGGGTCACGGCGCCAAAGTAGTAGTCTTGCTCCCCGGCGGTTTGACATGACACGCCGACGACTTGGCCGGTGTAGTCGCTCTTGACGACGGATGTGACGGTGGTCTCGACGACGGTGACGTTGGGTGTGGACTGGGCCTTTGCTCGCAGTTTGGAGATGAAGCGGCCGTGGTGGAAGGAGCGTCCTTCGGGTGCTCTCGAGGGCCCGGAGGTGATGAGGTTGTCGGGGTAGGGGATGTGGACCTCCTCTTTGCCGTAGAAGATCTGGTAGCCGTGGCAGGGTATCGCATCGATGTCGTCGAGGCAATCTGGGGCTTGCTGTCAGCGTTTCACCCTAGACGTGTGCTAGGAATGATTCAACGTACCCCTCATGCCCAGCTTCTCCAGAGCATTGACACCACCCGGCTGTAGCAGCTCTCCTACAATCCTGTCCGGCTCCTTCAAGCTCTTCTCCAGCAGTATGACGCTTCGGCCCTGCTTGCCGAATGCGACAGCAGCTGCGCACCCCACGATGCCTGCGCCAATGATGACGACATCAGCTTCATGGTGCACGCGCCGCCTCTCTTCGCGGGAGTCGCATGTGTGTGTGGCTTCGATGGTAGGGACGGATTGGGTCGATGTGCCTCTGTGTCGCAGCTGGGGAGACGGCGAGGCAGAAACTCCAGGCGGGAGCTCTGCTAGCTTGGAACCGGAATACATTGTGAGCATGGTTGCGGTTGCTGGGGTCTGTTGAAAGACCGTGTTGAGTGAAAGGTAAAGTTGATTGCGCAGAGGAAGGTGCGTTCCAAACTCAGTGGGGCGGGTGAGGCGCCGCGATAAATACTGGGCGATGTGCAGCGTGGAGAAGGAGTGTGTGTGTGGAGAAGTCAATCAGCCTCGTCGAAACGTCACACGGGCGGCGCGAGGGTAGAAATAAACTTTGCGGAACGTCAGGTCTCGTGCAGATCAAGGGTCCGGCATGCAACCGCGTCGTCGTGAGAACGAATCCGAGTGGCGACCTCACGATCTTAAGCCGCGAGATTGATTGCAGGGATCGCGCTCACCGCCATGGCCCTTTCTGCCAGGGGTATCACTCCCGCCTGGGCGATGTGGTGTGAAGATCATCTCATCTTGTCGGAATCCGATCTTGCTCGGCTTTTCCTCGAACCATGTCTGGCCTTCGGGCGGGTCTTCGGTCTCCGGAAGGTGTATGTGTTGTTCGTGAAGGGCGATTGTAGGGTGGGTCGGCAAAGACATGCACCTGGGCACCTGCATAGCATTCACGTGTTGGCTACCAGGCACCCGCATCAAACTTAGAATCGTCGCAGGCACACCACAGCGACAAGTAGTCGATGCAAATCTCCTCTCTATGTGGTATATACGTTTCGCACAAACTCTATACATTGGGAATTCAGAAAGCAACTCTGCCGAGCTGAGTATATTCAAAGCGCTGCACAAACGGCGCCGCGTACGCTACGGTAGTCAATAGAAATTACAAATAAAGCCAGTACATGGTATGATGTAGGTATATAGTGGTGATCAAGCAAGCATGCGTCTCGTCGTGGTGAACCTTCCGCCTGTTTGCCTTTGCCCACCCAAGTCCGATTAATCCCCGGATCGTGCAAGCCATTGTGTCGTCAATGTGTGCCAGATAATCCGCCCAAACGAAGGAGATTTAGGAACGAAGAGCCCCAAAGAATGTGCCAGTACGCCTTCAAGGCCCAAGGAAACGTCTCGCCAATAAGGGGCCTCCGCAATGCGTAAGAATTGGAAGGGACGACCGGTGGAAGTTGTATGTACATATGTACGAATATACACAAGATCATGAGTACGTCTTGATGTGTTGCTGAAGCTTGGCGGTATTGCTATCCAAGGCGTCTAGAAGGCAGAGCCGGGGCGCTGGCTCGAGGGGGGGAACATCGGCGATGCCATCGGGGTATCGACTTCCATGATGGTGGATTGCCGGTCAGCGAATTGTGTCTTGCCGTCGGAAGGCTGGGCTGGGCCAAGGTGCGAGTTGCGGTAGTATGCCTCGTAAAACTCGCTGAGTCGAGCATCCTGCCCCTGTTGACCCGGTGCAAGCAGGTTGCTTGACTGGGGACGGCGCTCCGTCTCGTCGTCAGTAGACGCAAGGATCGATGTGTGGCCGGATTCGACTGTTGAGGCGGCAGAGGCTGAACGGCCCGCCTTTTGCTTTTGCAAAACCTGAGTATGCGAGTCCTTCTTTTGCGCTGCCTCCTGATATGCTTGGTATGCTTGGAAAGTGCTTAGCCGGTTGCCACTGCTGTAGATGCTGCTCGCGTCGCTTCCGTCTCGTTCATGGTGTGGCGAGTAAGTTCGTGCCTGTAGTTGGGGTTGGAGAGCGGGTGACGAAGGTTCAGAGTCTTGGAAGAAAGTTAGGGATGGCCCGATATATATCTACTAAATGCTAAAAGTACAACAGACAACGCACCAGGAAATCGCGTTACCTACTCGGCTCGTGGACCTGCACGCGAGGGTAGTCGTACTCGGGCGATGGAGAGCGGGACTCCTTCCGCAAAGCATGGCCAGGGATAGATGGCAACTTGGCTGTGGGTGGGTTGTGGGGCGAAAGCGGTGTTGGTGATTGACCAGGCGAGTTGTGGTAGGATCCTTGCTGTGACTTGATGGCATTCGCATCTCCGGAGTGGTGCGATACCATGAGAGCTGGCGCGTATTGCTGACGGTTCAAATCGGCTGGTGACATGGACCGGGGAGATGTGAAACCGTCGCTGTCGCTGTCGGAGCCACCAAAGTCAGGAGAGGTGGTACTACGCGGGTGACCGGGCGAAGGAGGAACTTGAAGAGACATGTCGACAGCGCCGTTGTGGTTGCGTCTTCCACTGAGCTCGGCCTCAGATGGGCGGAGCTTCATGGTAGGCGGCGAAGCTCGTCGTGTGGATGGTTCTTTGGTGGCGTTGAGGTTCAGGCTGAGCATGCTGTTGTTGTTGGACTGTCCCTTCATGAGCGGCGAGTTGACGCTTCCTCCGACCAAGGTGCTGGTGCTCATTGTTGGATTATCGCCCATGACAGATCCTGCTCTTGAGGTGGGTCGCGACTGGGCGACTCCGGCGTAGAATCCGGCCTCGATGGCGCGGATACCAAACAGATCACCCTCATCCTTCTCGCGTTGGTTCAGTTCAACAGTGTCCTCCTTGGGTCCAGCCTCTAGCTCGGTTTGCTTCGCGTTCTTCAACCTTGCTATCGTTAGTTCACGTCAAGATGGTGTCAATATTGATACTTACTTCTGACGGTTGTATAACACCTTGATGAATCCACCGAGGATAGTAATGACCAACAGTGACAAGAAGACAACACTGTGCAGTGTCAGTCGTTGCAACACTCTGTATCTTTCTAACAACTCACATGTACTTGTATGCCAACTGCAAGTCGCCAAACCAGTTCGACATTATGATTAATATTTCGCGGTGGCGGACAGTGCTCTTGAATTATGAATGTGTTTTGCTGATATCCTCGTAGGCGGTACACTGGATGTATAGGCTAAACCGATTACTGTCGATCCAAGTAGTGTCTATCGTTGCGTAGGTAGCGAAATGAGTGTCGGGTAAAAGCCGTGGGAATCCAAATACGGAAGGCGCAGTGCAGGACGATGCTCGGAACGAAAGGACGTGTATACAAGATACACAAGAAAGAGTGACTGGGGTTGCAAGTCCTTGGAAGAGCGAGGCAAAGACGAGCAGAGCTACGGGGGATAAAGAGTAAAAGAGCGTAGCCTCAGAGGCGCGCGCTGACTGCTTCAGTAGTTTGGCGCTATCTACACGACGTCGGCACGCATGGTTGAGATCTAAAAGCGGAGGCGACAGCCTAGGTCCTCATGCCCGCTCGTGAAGCGAGCGTCGAGGCCAATCAAAGCAAGCACGGTGCCCTAAACGGAAAGCGATTCAGGTGCGCTAACGGAGTTAGTTGAGGGTTTGTTTGAAGGCGTTGTGACCCGGCATGTCCATGCAGAGCCAGCCCTGCCCTCGTGTCAGTGCCCTCCGAAGATTCGGAAAAGCTCTTAAGCTCTTGTTCGATGTCAGTCTGGGCGCTCGTACAGCGTAATGACGAGTCTCTCCACTGGCATTGATCCATCCGGTGGTGTTCTGTGTGCAAAGTAGAGGGCGTGGCGCTGATGATGCCATGGCAATAGGAGCGGCAGTGACGGCAACCGAGCAGTCAGAGCCTGTGATGGCACAGCTGTGGCGCATCAGGCGTGGAGCCATGTCGTGTTGACGGTTCATCTAAGCATGATTCGCTTCTCGTCCCGTCGTGCCCCTGACGGCGAGTTGGGACAGCGAGAGGAACAGGCATGGCGGCTGTTCAGGCGGCCTATTCGGTCCCACTTGGATGAGCTTGGCAGGGGAACAGGACTCCAAGTTGGACCTGGCGCCTGCGGAACTGGCCACTGCAGATGCTTTTTTCAGCACAATGTGCCCGACACCCACGCAGGGCATCCTTTTCTCGCGTTCTCGCCATGCGATGCCCATCTCCCGGAGTGCCTCCGCTTACTGCAATCTCCCGGGAGCTCGGCAACAACTGTAGCATCGATTATCGATCTCGAACCTCCACTTCGAGTCGATCAGCATGTTCTGTGTAACGGTCACAGTCAAGACCTCAAACACCAAGGCGCGTGTTAAGAACGCAAGCGATGCAGCAGGTGCAGGGCGCAGCTGCAGTCGATCGCACGCTTGCGCTGAAAGATGCGTGACAGGAGTAAGACCTGTCGCACCAGGATGCAATGGGCCAATATCCGTTGAAACGAAACGTTGGCTATCCGCTTCTGACTCCTCCAGCGGCGCGGTAGCTTCTGTCACGACCGATGCATGCAGAGGAACAGAACCCTGTCCCGCGGTGTATAGCGAGTACGATGTGCCTTAGCACGCGGTTGCCGACTTCCGGACAGCGCGCTGCCTTCGGCTTCCGATGGCAGTAGACAACGACCAACAAATAGAGCACATGCATGAGAACGAGCAGACTGACAATGCCGTCATTCTCCGGCGTCAGAGGAATGAGATGCCCTTAGCATTGCCTGGAAATACGGCGACCGTTGGCGGAAAGAGGGTCAGGCATTAGCTTGGCGGGACCTGGAGTTGAGCGGTTCCACTATTGCCAGTCCACCTCGTACTTTTTTTTCGCGCCGGCGGCGCCGCCTATGCCTATAGTATCAGCTTCAGGGACAAAACCTCATCTCACCCTGTTATGCGAAAAGGAGTAGGATGCCAAGTTGGGAATTGCATCCTCTGCACATGTCGCCAGTGGGTTCGACATGACCAATCGTGGGTGCCTGGCAAACGCTCCGTCGCGCTATCGATTGTAACTTTCAGTCCGGGGCGCCATCACTCGGACAGCCAAGTGTGGTGGTGTCATAGAGAACTTAGGTCCCACGGACGGGACGTAGGTCATCACCCAAGGTTCCGCTCCGTCTTGTTGTAAACAGTGCCAAGAGCCTACACTTGCCTCTGTCCCCTGAACCGCACGATGACTTCTTTTGCGTCGCGTGTCCTCAGTGTTGAGGCCTGGAAAATGCGCCTCCAATGTGACCCCAGAATCGCCCGAGCGCCGAGTTACGGCTCGTGTATGTAACGAGGCAGAGAGATTGTCTACTCCGATACCTCAATCTCAACGCCCACTGGCCGCGCATTATCTTCGCGGAGAACGTCCAATAGACCGTTATGAAGGAAGTCACAGGCACAGCATCTCAAGCAAGCTTA